CTACTACCACTACTCCCACTACTACCACTACTACCACTACTACCACTACTACTACTACTACTACTACTACTACTACTACTACGACTACTACTACGACTGCTACTACGACTGCTACTACGACGACTACGACGACTTCGACTACTGCGACTACTACGACGACGACTACTACTACTACCGCTGCCACGAGCACTAACACTACCACTACCACCACCATCACGACGACGACGATTACTACTAACAGCACGACTACTACCACTACTACCACTACTACCACTACTACCACTACCACCACTACCACCACTACTACTACTACTACTACTACTACTACTACTGCAACTATTGCGATGACGACGACTACTGACTACTGCGACGACGACATCACCACATAAAATCGTCGAGCTTGGGTGTGATGTGTTTTCTTCCTGCGAGGTTCGAGCGGCCACACTATGAGGGCCGCGGCACTCAGGACTCGCAAATTTGTTGCCGGTGGATTTCGTTCGGCAGGTTGCGTCTCGATGCGGCATTGAAGATTTTAGAAGGGGTTCCGTTGGGGCTGTCTAGAAGCTTGGCCGGAGACTGCTTCCAACTCCCCGGACTGGGTCAAGTCTGTTATTGACGCATTCCGCCCATGGAGGACTCTGACGACTGTATCCGCCCGATCACTGCAGCGCGCTTCTGCTTAGCCGACTGCACCATTGGAGATTTCGAAGAAATCCATCCAGTGGCTGACAGATGCTGGCCGTTTTAGCAAGATTTTTTATGATATTGCTTCAATTTATTCCATTTGTTGCTAAGTCCACCTCAGTGATCGCAAAGCTAACGGCAGCTTCAGTTGCTTTGAACCGGAAGTCGTGGCCGCGATCTGCTGCATCACCACCGCCATTATCATCACTGTCATTATCTTACATCCCACATCCCCATCCTTATCATCTTATCTTCATCCTTCTTGTTCATCTGCTTCTCTACGTCATCAGCATCATCATCCTCATCATGACCACTTGTGCTGGTATCAGTACCGATGTGATTAACATCAGCCATCAGCATCAGCACGCCTTCATTTTTGCATTCCCCAAAATATTCGCAGCGAGTATCAGAAACGGAATCGTCAGTTTCATGTGCAAGAGGCATCGCCATTGTCACCTTCGCTATCACGATTGACAGAGTGAGGATGTTCTTGATCTCTACTTGCATTCACCGGTTTTCTATCATTTTCCCATCGTAGTAACCGTAGCTTCATCGCCCTCTCCTCTCACTCCCTGTCTTCTTTCCCTCCCTGTCTTCCTCGCTTCGTGCTCTCTCTTCCCTTTCTCTCTCTTTCTCTCGCGCTTTCTCTAGCTCCTCTCTCCTGTCTGAGTCTCGGTCCCTTCTCTCGTCCTTCTCCCTCACTCTGAGACCACTTCTGCCAAGCAAGGACAGTTTTGAGCCACACCTTGGCTGCGGAGCCCTGGTGAGCGGGGCAGGCCTATGCTTCGACTGATTCGTAGGACGTGAGCGCATCTGTGGGTATGTATGTGTATATATATATATACGTATGTGTGTATATATATATATATATATGCATACGACTATATATATATATGTATATATATGTATGTATATGTATGTATGTATGTATGTATGTATGTATGTATGTATGTATGTATGTACAAATGTGTATATGTGTATATGTGTATATGTATATATGTATATATGCATATATGTATATATGTATATATGCATATATGTATATATGTATATAGTACATATGTATATATGTATATATGTATATATGTATACATGTATACATGTATATATATATATATGCAGTATATATATGTATGTGCGTGTATATATATATATGTATATCTATGTGTGCAGATCTATATGTACAAACATACATGCAGAGAGATAGATAGATCGATAGATTGATAGATGGACAGGTGGAGATACGTGTATATGTATATGTATGTATATATGTATGTATACGTAT